CGAGATCTTCATTTACCATCGAGTTTATTTTTAAAAACCAAAACAAACAGTGAATGTGTGGCAATTTCTGATTGATATTCAATATTGTAAAAGTTATCAACAACCCTAGCAATCGGCTGGGCCAACCTGCTCTAAGAGCATTTTGTATTATTCTGTGCGTAAATCCGGACCTCCCATTTCGTATGATACGTTATGTTTCGTGTGGTATGTATTAATGAATAATGATATTACAAATTACAATTCGTATTATATGTTACGAATTTGCAAAACTTACAATATGTTATGAATTTGCAAAACATACCATATGTTTCGAATTTTCTAAATGTATGATATGTTACTAATTCTAGCTAATGTTAGTTAGGCTAGGAGTTAGGGTTAGGGGTTAAGGTTAGGGTTAAGTTTAGGAGTTTGGTTATAGGGTTACGGTTAGGGTTAGGGGAAGGGTTAGCTAAAAGGGTTAAGGTTAGGCTTAGAGGAAGGGTTAGCTAACATGCTAAGTAGTTGCAAAGTAGCTAAAAAGTAGTAAGTAGTTGAAAAGTTGCTAATTATCTAAAATGCTAATGTTGTCCGTGAAGAGAATCGAACTAGCAACCTTTGGGTTATATGCTCACCCATCCAACCCGACCAACCACGTTATATACTCACCCATACACCCCGACCAACCACCCTACTTTCGTTTTTGCTTTTAGTAACCATCTGTCTTATGTAACCATACCAAGCAAAACATATCATACTAATTTGAGCCTCCTGCATTTACATACAGAATAATACGAAATGCTCTGAGACCAGGGTGGCTGGGCAGGAAACTTGATCCAAGTTGGATCAAGTGTCTGAAATAAAAGAAACTGAAATAAAAGAAAAGCAGCGGTGAGTGAGAAAGGTAAGCATGAGTGAATTGAGCAAGACTGAAGTCCAAATATCATAATCTTCAGACTCATCAGGCTCTACTTCTAATGGTCTAATTGGCTGGATGACAATATCTGGACAAGGTGTGCTGCCATAGCTATTGCTCAGGCAGCATTTAGACAGGCAGCCCAATTCTGATTATTTTTTTTCTCACTAATTGGTCTTTTGACCAATCACATCAGATCTTTTCACATCAGATATTTTGCAGCACTAGTGAAATTGGGCTGCCTGTCTAAATGCAGACAAAGTTTCATAAGAATGTCTCTATAACGATGGTAAATAACATGTTACAGACAGTCAACCAATGAGAGGCCCCAACACAGGGACTGACCCCACTTGTCTGCCACTTGTGGTGTTTGGTCAGAGACACAGTGGCTGTGTTTACACAGGCAGTCCAATTCTGATATTTTTTTCACTATTGGTCTTTTGACCAATCAGCTCTGAAAAAGATCTGATGTGAAAAGATCTGATGCGATTGGTCAAAAATAGTCAACCAATTAGTGGAAAAAATATCAGAATTGGGCTTCCTGTCTAAACGCAGTCATAGACACACGCGACAATGCAAGGCGAGTACAGCACATGAGAGAAAACACCCTTGCTTAACGGCTTCCTGTGTGCAATTCCAGAGAGAGTTGCTGATGGTGACACTAGCAGGCCCTGGCCCTGTCCTAGTTAATAAGGCTGCGTTTACACAGGCAGCCCGATTCTGATCTTTTTTACACTAATTGGTATTTTGAATAATCACATCAGATCTTTTCATATCAGATCATATTCAGAGCTGATCTGATTGGTCAAAGACTAATTAGTGAAAAAAATATCAAAATTGGGCTGCATGTGTAAACGCAGCCTATGAGGCTGCATGGAGGAAGGCAGGCCAAGTTGTCAGCAGGTGCTCACACTACTTAGATAAACCTGGAGGATTAGTGGCACTGTTAAAGTTGGGGCAAAGAAGATTAGCCTTTCCTCGTGTGAGGTGGCAAGAGATTTCCGGTGTGCTTCAGCAAGGCTGGGAATGGAGGGAGGGAGGGGAGGAAGGAAGAAAGGTGGGGAAAGTGATGGGAAGATGAAGCTCTGGGACATTATTCACAAAGTGCTGATATAGGGTCAGATTTCCCTTTTAGACCATAATGAATACGATTATACAGTACCAGTAAAAAGTTTGGACACACCTACTCATTCAAGGGTTTTTCTTTTTTTTTAAACTATTTTCTACATTGTAGAATAAAGGGAAGACATGAAAACTATGAAATAACACACATGGAATCATGTAGTAACCAAAAAAGTGTTAAACAAATCAAAATATATTTTATATTTGAGATTCTTCAAATAGCCACCCTTTGCCTTGATGACAGCTTTGCACACTGTTGGCATTCTCTCAACCAGCTTCACCTGGAATGCTTTTCCAACAGTATTAAAGGAGTTCCCACATATGCTTAGCACTTGTTGGCTGCTTTTCCTTCACTCTGCCATCCGACTCATCCCAAAGCATCTCAATTGGGTTGAGGTCGGGGGATTGTGGAGGCCAGGTCATCTGATGCAGCACTCCATCACTCTCCTTCTTTGTAAAATAGCCCTTACACAGCCTGGAGGTGTGTTGAGTCATTGTCCTGTTGAAAAACAAATGATAGTCCCACTAAGCCCAAACCAGATGGGATGGTGTATGCTGTGGTAGCCATGCTGGTTAAGTGTGCCTTGAATTCTAAATAAATCACAGACAGTGTCACCAGCAAAGCACCCCCACACCATAACACCTTCTCCTCCATGCTTTACGGTGGGAACTACACATGCTGAGATAATCCGTTCACCCACACCGCGTCTCACAAAGACACGGCGGTTGGAACCAAAAATCTCCAATTTGGACTCCAGACCAAAGGACACATTTCCACCGGTCTAATGTCCATTGCTCGTGTTTCTTGGCCCAAGCAGGTCTCTTCTTCTTATTGGTGTCCTTTAGTAGTGGTTTCTTTGCAGCAATTCGACCATGAAGGACTGTCGTTTCTCTTTACTTATTTGAGCTGTTCTTGCTAAATAGGGCTATCTTCTGAATACCCACCCTACCTTGTCACAACACAACTGATTGGCTCAAACCCATTAAGAAGGAAAGAAATTCCACAAATTAACTTTTAAGAAGGCACACCTGTTAATTGAAATGCATTCCAGGTGACTACCTAATGAAGCTGGTTGAGAGAATGCCAAGAGTGTGCAATGCTGTCAAGGCAAACGGTGGCTATTTGAAGAATCTCAAATATAGAACATATTTTGATTTGTTTACCACTTTTTGGTTACTACATGATTCCATATGTGTTATTTCATAGTTTTAATGTCTTCACTATTATTCTACATTGTAGAAAATAGTCAAACTAAAGAAAAACCCTTGAATGAGTAGGTGTGTCCAAACTTTTGACTGGTAGTGTATATCAGCACTCTGAAACTCTTTGTTAATACAGGCCCCGGCATCATGGTTGGAGGGTCGTGCAGCACTTATGCCTACAACATATCTGAGAAACATGACTGTTAAACTAGACGGCAGGGGAAGACATAGGAGCAGGTTGGCTGGATGAAGGGGAAAATCTTGGAGGTGCTTTCGGAGGTAGTAGGGCTTGTACTAGAATGTGTGTTTAGATTAAAGAAGTAATTGGTCAGGGTCGTATTCATTGGGGCACACCCTAGCAAATCATTTCCAATGGAAAAATAGCATTTGTTATTGGACACGTACAGGTCAGGTGGTCGTTTTTTTCTTCCGTTTGGTGCCTAATGAATACAACCCTGGTGCTTTCGCGACTTGAGGCCACTGACTGTATAAATTACGAATATAGACCTCTGCTTCCATCTGCTGGCAAACATAAGGAATGCAGTAGATTGTGGCTTCAGAACAGCAAGAAATCATATACCATAGCACAGGGTCCCCCAACTTGCGGCCCGCAGGCCAAATGGGTTTAACCCCCCCCATTCTTTTTAGAATTTTCATTGTTGGACATAAAATACTGTCAAAACACCAGGAAATCAGCTTCAAGTGATTTTTATTTTGGAAAGCTGTTCCCAAGTATTCCCACGCATAATAGATCGTATACAAATGTAAGCAAGGTTTGAAATTATTATTTTAGTCAAATAATATATCTGTTTGGGCAGTCTACAAATTATTTGTAATTATGTTCCGGCCACCCGACCATCCACTCAATAAAATAATCATCCCTCGGCTGAATCTAGTTGATGATCCCTGCTGTAGCCTATACAATATCATAGTATATAATATAATTTGTTCATAAAAAGGCAAAAAGGACCAGGAGTTAACGTTGTTGCAAAATGTATAAGGAATTGTATAAAATAAAAAACATATTGAAACACATAGGAAGCTATTCATCAAATAATGTCCATTATGAATCAAAAGGCCTCAACAAAACATGATGGAAAAACAGCTTACATCTTCAAAACCATTCTCTGGGTGATGTTGGATCAGTAGCAAATGTTCCAGTTTTAATTGAAGGCATATTTTCATTTTGGTATAACACCAAAACTCTATAAATCCACATAAATGCTGTTAGGGAGAATATATTATCTTCCTCTGAACAAATCAATTCAGTGTTTGTTTGTTTTTCGATATACTTTGCAATGATATACACACTTAATAAAACAAGTACAAATTGCAGTTATGATCAAAGCAATCCTATCCAAGCATGAACAATACAATTAGGGCCCTGTGCTTTGGACTATCAACAGGACTAGATTGATGGAAATTAAACATGGTATATATATATATATATATATTTAGCCATATAAAGCTAGCTTTAGTTTTGTGTCATTTAGTACATAGTTACATACATACAGTACATATTGTGTTTGAACATCCCATTCCAAAATGGTTGTTTGAACTTTAATCTATTCCTCTTCCGTTTTTTTTCCAGAGACTAAAAACAAGAAGGATATGTGGAAGAATAGAAGAGATATATTGGGCTTCTTGAACTCCCTGAGTGAGGTTTCTTAAATACAGAGGTACAATATACTTTCATCAGCAGTCTCCCATTAGACCACATCCACATACGTCTCATCTATGATCAACTCTTGAAAACACACATTTGGATATGTTGAAAGTTGAAGCCATAGCATTCTGTCAGGTAACAGCTTCCCGAGGGTCCTTCCTCCTGGGTTAAAACCACCAAGGGAGAGGATACTAATCATCATATGACCACCATTCACAACTAGTTGAATAAACTAGTTGAATAAAAAAGCATTTGATAAACAAATGAATGGTTTGCTTTGACCATACACTACATTCCTATCTTTTCTAAATCCTTTATATTGTCTTATAATACATTGTACATATATTTGGTTCTAATCTCAAGGCAACAGAGTTTTGTGCAAAGTGGCAAACTTTGTGGCCCAACTCTTCTTTGTCAGTCTGAATACCTACGATCTGCAGGGTGTTCTTAAGGACCCGGGCTCCTGGAGGCTCCCAGAGCTGGGCCATAGCCCTAGCTGGGCTCTAGCCCTCTGCAAAGGGTCTGTGTCTGGGGGTCAGTGGCTCCATCTCCAGTACTAGGTCTCGTGGTCGTGGCCCTTTATTCTGCTCCACAACCCTTGGCACCACCGTGGACCAGCGATCTAGATGGGTTGGGGAACAAAAGTCAAATGTTGGCTGATGTGATTCGGCTTGCCCTTATACACTGTATATTTGCCTTTATGAACTGTACGTATGCATCAGTGCACTTTAACATTTTTTTGCGAATGCAGTAAAAGAGTCTCACCTCTCCTCAGGCCACGGACGGTTTGATGCACTGTACCGGAGCATTGCTGGGTCTCTGTTATGTTCTTGCCCGGGTCTTCGTTGATTATGGCCAGGTTCTGATTCCAGTGGCACCAGTTGACCTCGTCCACCCTGAAATTACCCCAGAAGATGTTTGCATTTGACTTACCAATCAGACACGTTTCTCTGATGCAGAGAGGGGTGAGAGTCCAGAGAAACAACTATGTGTACCTGAAGCACCAGCGGCGGTCAGGGGTGCCGTCCCATTTCTTCCCCACTGTCACCATCTCCCCAGCACGGAAGGACTTCCGCAGACACACAGGGAAGGAGCGCTCGATGTCCAGGATTGTCGTAGCCCACTGTTGTTAAAACATAACATCAACCAACATGTAGTAATGTTTTCCATAACATACTCATGTGACCGTGAACTAGAGGATGCACTGTGTATAAGGCCATCACCAGGGGTTCCCAGGGTCATATTCACTAGGCACCAAACGTAAGAAAAACTACTTCCAATTGGAAATGTTTATTTTTGTTTTCCGTTGCAACCTTTGCTACGGTGTGCTCTAATGAATAGTGTTTACTGCATAGGGAACCTACAGTAGCTGTCCATCAGCTGTTCTCCTCACTCACCTGCAGCTTCCAGATCTTCTTGCTCTCCTTGGACACCTGGCTCACTGTCTCTCCCATCAGAGCGATCAACATGTTGAGCAGCAGCACGAAGGTGAGGATGATGTAGGTGACCAGCAGGATGAGGAAGACAGCCGGGTACTGGGCACTGCTGACCATGTCCAGATCGCCCATTCCGATGGTCAGCTTGAACAGGTCCAGCAGGAAGTTGCTGAAGGTGTCCGTGTCCCGGCACTGGGGGTAGGTGGGGCAGCCGCCTTCCTCCGGACACACCTCATCCGGCCCGGGGCACACCGCCAGGAGGGACACCAGAGCTGGGGGGTGAGATGGGAAACATGAGGAGATGATACGGTAGGTTCTCTTCTGTTTCAACTGGTCGACAGACTGCTGAGAAGAAGAAGTGTGCAGTAGGGGACATTGTACCTGACGAGTATCCAATCATGAAGAGCAGGTAGACCAGCAGAAACCGGAACAAGTCTTTGAAGAGAATCTGAGAGCCAAGGAAGAAGGATAAATTGTGATCAGGTGTCTAGTGTCATATTAGTCCATTTTGATTTCAAATTCAATGTGAAGGAGTTGATACCTTCTGTATCATGATGCTGTAGGTGCCGGTGAGCTTCAGGCCTCTGGTGAAGTATAAAGTGTTCATCCAGCCCAGGACCAGCGCAAACACCATCACAGACACATAGGCCTCGATACCCGACAGGTAGAGAGCCGCAGTTACTATCACCAGCACAGAGTAGATGAAGCTAGAGATATAGGAGAGTTGGGCCATGTTCATTAGGCACAAAATGGAAGAAAACGGACCGAAATGCCTAGGTACTATCTGAACTTCTCCAATAAGAAACACGCTTTCATTTTCCAATTCAAAATGTTTTGCAACGGTGTACCCTAATGGCCCTGGTGTTAAGATTCCAGGAAACAACAATAATCCTTATCCTACCTACGTGTTAGATACAGAGAACATTTCCAATACACAGGAATGCCATTTGGGATTTAACGGGCAACATGTAGATGCAGCACTAATGATGGAAACAAAACACCCTTCGGAGCGGCGCTCAACATCCTCCGCTCTTTGTTGGGATCATGGGTTTAATTAAAGAAGATGTAAACTATAAAATGTGCCAGAAAAAGGGGGGCTTTAATGTGGAATTGAATAGACTCAATTAAGAGAGGATGATAAATTAGCCTCGGGTACAAGTCAGAGGGAGTTACAGAGGAGGAGAAGGTTAAGGAGGGGGGAGCTGGAGTCTTACTAGAGCAGTTGAAAGGAGCCATCGACAAATAAGGAGTTCACCCCAGGGCATTTCTTCAGGAAGAGGTCCTTAATCTACAAAGGGGGGCAGGAAGAGAGAGATTTGGGTAATGGCTGCCCACAAACATACTGTATTTTAGTTTTGGGGCTTGACACAAGAAGAGGATGAGGAGGATGAGAGCGAGAGAGAGGGAATGTCAGAAAAGAAACAAGATCAATTTACAGGGGAGATTGAAGATTTATAGTGAAAGTGTGTGTTTGTGTACACATTTCGAGGCCTCTTTAAAAAAATGTTGTTTATTGTAGAGTCAACATTCAAAGATGTGACTCTGATTGGATGGTTCAACCGGAGAGAAGCTGCAGTGGCTGCAGGCTGCAGACTTACGTTAGTGAGGAAGAAGAAGACTCCAGAGCCCAAGGTGATAACCTCCCCTCCCAGACGCAGATAGTCTGTGGAGGTGTTGTAGGAGTACGGAGGCTAGTCAGGGACAAACAAAGTTAAAGCTTTGCTGGTCGTGACACCCATACTGTTTGTACAGTACACATATACTAATATAATAATAATGCCACTTGGCAGGCACTTTCATCCAAAGCGACTTTGAATAAGTGCATACATTTGTTGTGTTTGTATGTGAGTTGTTGGTCATGTACGTACCATTCCCTGGGAGGGGCGGTAGTAGGCCACCAGGGTGAAGATGATCATGGTCACCAGGTAGGAGACAACACTGATGTAGAAGGTGACGGCAGCAAACTTTTGCCACTTGGCCCTCAACAGCTCGTTGATGGGCTCCACAGCCAGCATCTCATGGCGATTCTATGGACAGCGCAGGAAGACTCACAATAATGGTAGGAGGAGAGTATGGTGACAAAGAGAGAGTGAAAGAGAAATCATACTCTATCTTTCCTACCATACTGGCTTTCCCTTTATCTCAGATAAACAAATCTATTATAGGTAAAAATGCAAAAACACACACTTGGCCTCTGTCTGCCCCATCCCCACTTCATAATCTTAGCCACAAAAAATACACTGAAGACTTGCGTTAGCTCCCAGAGCTTCAGAGCCGAGGCTTTATCTAAGCAGGCTATCACGCACCTCGATGCGGCTGTTGTAGACCAGGATCTCCAGCACGGACACCTCCTCTCCACAGGTGTCCAGGGAGGAGAGGTCGTACAGGGAGGAGTACACGGGGCCGTAAGCCCAGTCCTTGAACTTCCGTGAGAGGTGACGCGCTTCCTCGTCCTTGATCTCCCTGCGAATGATGTGCTGGAAAACCTGGGAGAAATAATAATAACAAAGTTGACCTTCTTTGTCTGTTTTATAATGCATGTGATTATATTTTCTGTCAATAATACAATACATAATCCAACAAGGCACCACACAGTAGCATTACCATTAGCATTGCTAGTGTTAAATGAACTATCCCTTTAAGAGTATGATTCCTCATACACGTGATATATGAGTTCGTTCTCACCCCAATTTTTCCCAGCTTTGCCGCCATCATAAGGGGCGACATGCCGTCGTTGTTGAGAATGTCCTCCAGGCTGCATTCTGGGTAGAGTTTGGCACACTTGGTCAGCAGCAGGTCGTACATCTTGGTGAGGAAGCGGGTGTTGTCCCGGGTGTTGTCGGCGATGTGCACCAGGGCGTGTAGCACTGTGTTGCCGCGCGAGTCCTGCCGTCGAAGGTCAGCCTTCTTGTGGGTGTTCTCAGTCAAGTAGTGCACCATGTTCGGCTGGTTGGTGCACGCTGCCAGCGACAGAGGCAGCTCGCCTGGCCAAAGAGATACAGTCAGATACACACAGCAACAAGCACATCAATCAAGGGGATCCCATTTTACAATGGAACTAATAGAAAAGTCCCAAAAGTGCAAACCCTGCCCACCTCGCACTCAGGCAGTCTCTTTCCACTCTGGGTTCATATGGAACAGCAAACCACTTTCCACATGTCTTTGAAGGCTATCTTTGCCTGGCTACCCAGACTCCTTACTCCGGCATAACGCTACACCACGTCTATGAGTCTGGATCTGAATACGTCCCCAACCCTTCAGGGCCCTCTTGATTGGTCCAGAAACCAATGGGTTGGGCCAGAGCCAGAACACACTTGGGTAAAGCGGCAGTTTGAAAATTTGTCATTGGCTTTGATACTCTGCTTGGTTAGAGACGATCCAATCGCTGATGACTTTGTTTTGTACAACACCCCACATGTCAAAGATTGGACTTAAAACCTTGCAACGAAAAGGACACAGTTAGTACTACTTGTCTGAGGGAGGGGCCTGTGCATTGAAACCAGTGTGCCAAAAGCAGCTACTGAAAACGAGCCGTTGCCACGGGTGACAGATTACCCTGTCACCTCGCATGGGAAACGCTCCTCTTCATGGATTTGCACGGGTGCTCACGGAGTGAGTAAGCATTAAATCACATTAGCTGTCGCCCCTCTGCCAGGTTTCCTGGTTATGTTTTCTTTTTTCTTTTTTTTTGTCATTTAGCAGACGCTCTTATCCAGAGCGACTTACAGGAGCAATTAGGGTTAAGTGCCTTGCTCAAGGGCACATCGACAGATTGTTCTCCTAGTCGGCTCGGGGATTAGAACCAGCAACCTTTCGGTTACTGGCACTACGCTCTTAACCACTAAGCTACCTACTTCAGCGCAAAGCTCCAGAGTGAATGACTCGCATTGTGCCACAGACACGCCGGGGGTTTGGAATGATTTGGGAATGACAGTCGCACTTAGTGCAAGTGGATATAATCCCTCGGGTGATGAGTATGGAACATAACACATTAATACAATAACAATGCCAGTAGTGAGTTTCTTGGGAAATAATTGCCTACTCAAATCTCCTCTCTTTTAACCTGTATCTCTTTCTCTGTCTCTCCCTCTATCTCCTTCATAACCCTTTCACATTCCTGAGCAGAGCTGTAGGCTTCTACACTGGCCTGGTAACGCATCCACCATAGTTGCAAACACAGTGCCAGAAAATACAATGTCAAAATGAAATATCAGTCAGCACAGTCCAGTTCGGGTCAACAGGATAGTGTGAAAAGTGTATTAGTTTGTTGAACTTGAGGCTGGAAGGGCTGTTGAGGTGAATGGGATGTAGCCTAGTCCCGAGGATCTTAATTTGAGCCAGTTTGCTACAACAGGAAAATAATCCTGCAGCAACAGAACATGTGAATTATTATGTGGATTATAATTAATGGACATTTTTGTACAGGTTGATAAATTTTTCATAAGGGAAAATCAAGTCTGAAATTTCAAAGTGGACATTTTAAAACCGCAAATACACTACAAGTTTTACATTTCTCCTGCAACAGGGTGATCAATGAAGATCCTACACCTGTAGTGGGATGTTGGGTTCAGCATGAGAGTTGCAGGGATACTCTCCAATCAGCAGAGGGCAGTATGGAGTGACACGTTTTATTTGGAGGCTCTCTGTCAATGGACTCTGCCAGCAACTTCAGTGAGGTCAGCAAAACAGAGGCAGCCTGCCCATTTGAAGGAAAGTATGTTTGCTTTTTTTCAGCAGCAAGCCACAGACAGCTTTCACTAAACTGTTCAGAAATACTTGTTGAACTTGTGACATCATTGTTCTCTTTTCTTTTTTGGAGAAGCCTACTACCAATAATGACATTTCTGATGATATGACTTCAGACTTGTTTTGGGTGGTTATATGAGTTTATCATTGGCCTTGCGAACTGTCCTGACTGTGTTGCCCAGCCCAAACCTGCCATGTAAAAAGGGAAGGGCGGGCTCTAATGTCACTTAATCTTACCATGGCAACTGAGAGCATTTTCCAAGAGAAGCTTAACACTACCTTAGTAGTGGTCCAGTACATATTTACTCCAAGTTATCCAACTGTGCAGCGATCCAGCCTTTGTAGACCACACTGAGGTAGCTAGAAAACCACTTTTCAAGTGCACTGCTTAAAGACACATTGACATGACCTCACAGTGTCGGGAACCCAGGCGCCTGTCATGGAAAACTACAGACATGTCATTAAAAAACCAAGAGGAATAGAATATTACTTTACCAGTATCGAAATACTGCCAAAGTTCAATAATACAATACTAGTGCATGAATGTTACCATAAATAGAGCAGAAAAAAAGAGGGATATCTGAGATATGTATGAAATCTCATCATGTGTTTTTTTTTTTTTTTTTAATGTGCTTAACTCTTAAATGTAACTATATGTAATCTAGAATGTAATCTACGTGATCCCCGAAAGTAATCATTTATCATGAGAGGACCATAAACAATAACTAGTAATGCTGTATACTCCAAGGTTAAAATCTCACCTTTCTGGTAGAAAAGTTATAAATTGCTGAGGTGTAGTCACTTTTGAGGACATAAGCTTAAGTACACAGTACAAATATGATAAAAATATGAAAATATAAAATATTTCATATGACGTATTTCCTATTCAACTAAACTGTATGAATAAGGCTTGAAATGACTTATATGCTTTCTAAATATAGTATCATCAAATTATAAAATCACTAACTATAAGATTTAACCTTATAACTGTAAAATATATATTTGTATGGTTAGTGTTAGAGAAAATGTGCAACATTTTCTAAAGGTCTCTCTTGATCAAAACATCTGCCCCCATCGCTGTGAATGTCACACAGAGCTCTAGCTTGGCTTCCTGAACTCGTTAGGAACCTGCCTTTCATCATATTAATCTCATCCATGTATGACAAACATAAAGTGTTTTTTGTTTAAAATCTATGAATTATTTTAGATTAATGGATATAAATCGATCTCTGAATGTGCTATAGTGATGGAACCACTCTCTCCTGCTGCGCTACGATGCAAGGTATTTTGGTATTTTATTAGGATCCCCATTAGCTGTTGCGAAAGACACAGCTACTCTTCCTGGGGTCCACACAGAACATGAAACATGACATAATACAGAACATTGATAGACAAGAACAGCTCAAGGACAGAACTACATACAGTACATTTAAAAATGGCACACAGCCTACATATCAATACACACAAAATATCTAGGTAAAATAGGGGAGAGGCGTTGTGTCATGAGGTGTTGCTTTATCTGTTTTTTAATCCAGGTTTGCTGTTCATTTGAGCAATATGAGATGGAAGGGAGTTCCATGCAATAATGGCTCTATATTTTACATTTTAGTCATTTAGCAGACGCTCTTATCCAGAGCGACTTACAGTTAGTGAGTGCATACATTTTCATATAATAATGTACTCTTTCTTGAATTTGTTCTGGATTTGGGGACTATGAAAAGACCCCTGTTGGGGTAAGTGTGTGTGTCAGAGCTGTGCGTAAGTTGACTATGCAAACAATTTGGAATTTTCAACACATGAATGTTTCTTATAAAAAGAAGAAGTGATGCCATCAATCTCTCCTCAACTCTTAGCCAAGAGAGACTGGCATGCACAGTATTTATATTAGCCCTCTGATTACAATGAAGAGCAAGACGTGCCACTCTGTTCCGGGCCAGCTGCAGCTTAACTAAAAAGGAGGATACCTTGTCAGTTGTACAACTGAAATGTTTCTTCCGCATGTAACCCAACCCCTCTGAATCAGAGAAGTGCGGGGGGCTGCGTTTATCGACATCCACATCATCAGCACCTGGGGAACAGTGGGATAACTGCCTTGCTCAAGGGCAGAATGACAGATTTTTACTTTGTCAGCTCGTGGATTCGATCCAGCAACCTTTCGGTTACTAGCCCAACGCTCCTAATGAAGATAAGACAAAACTAGAGCCTGCAGGACTTGCTGTGTGGAGTGTGGTGTCAAAAAAGCAGAAAATGTCTTTATTACAGACAGACCTCTCCCATCTTTATAACTATTGAATCTATATGTTTTGACTATGACAGTTTACAATCTAAGTTAACACCAAGTAATTTAGTCTCCTCAACTTGTTCAACAGCCACACCAATCATTACCAGATTCAGCTGAGGTCTAGAGCTTAGGGAAATATTTGTACCAAATAAAATGCTCTTAGTTTTAGAGATGTTCAGAACCAGTTTATTACAGGCCACCCATTCCAAAACTGACTGCAACTCCTTGTTAAGGGTTTCAGTGACTTCATTTGTTATGGTTGCTGACACATGGTTGAATCATCAGCAAACAAGGGCACACAGGCTTTGTTTAATGCCAGTGGCGTGTCATTGGTAAAAATAGAAAAAAGTAGAGGGCCTAGAGAACTGCCCTGTGGTACACCACACCCTACATGTTTGACATTAGAGAAGCTTCCATTAAAGAAAACCCTCTGAGTTCTATAACATAGATAGCTCTGAATCCACGATATGGCAGAGGTTGAAAAGCAATAAAACATACAGTATAAGCAAAACTATCAGTTAGAACTGGTACCAGAATCACGCAGGTCCCCTAAACAGGGGACTTTAAATCTAAGAGGTTTTAAACCATACTCCTACACTTAATGCACTGCCACTTTAAGCCCCTGCTGACCGAGGACTTTGGTTGTATATTGCAATAAAATATTGTATCTCGAATCTGAATCTTGCAGTTTCTGTAGACAGTAGAATGGATCAGATCTGATCCTAATGTTATGGTGTCTTACCAAAGTAGAAGTAGCCCCCCTCGTCCCTGGGTTGGAAGAAGCGTCCGCGGGCCTGGGCGTGAACGTCTGCCCCTTTCTCCACCAGCAGCTCCAAGTACTGCTTACAGCGCCTCTCAATGGCGATGTGCAGCGCCGTCTGGCCTGGCGAACCACACAACAGTCAGTCAACACATTGGGCATAGGGACAAGTGGTTAAATTGGGATTATTAGATCATTAATATATTCTCTATTCCAGCCTTGCCTGAGAGGGAATGAACTCTACAGTGGATGTATTGCATTGTTTGGTCTCTCACTGTCTGCTGAGTCCCACCTTCAGGAGTGAGGAAAGGTGCACTGACTAGAGGTCTCGGACAAAGACGCAAACAATATCTCCATTCCAAGACTGGGTCGAAGGTCAACCTCTTTCCTCTCCTATCCACACTTCAACAATGGTATTGTTGTAACTAACGCGATACCACATTCACTAAGTCCCAGTATCTCATCAATAAATGTGTGGTTCTTTTCTTAGGTCAACAAAGGTGGCCTGGTTCTGCTGCAGTGTCAAAGCTGTGAACAGTCATGGCACACAGACATACAGACATAAACACATTCCTTCTGGCTTGTATGTTCATTAAAGGGGACCTATAGCAACAGTAAGGATACCATATGGCTGCCATGGGCTCCTCAGCAATCACCATCTGTCTCCTACTTCAGTACTGTGTGGAGGTGGACTATGGCTGTGTCTGAAATGGCATCCTATTCCCTATATAGTGCACTCCCTTTGACCAGAGCCCTATGAAAAAAAGTGCACTACATAGGGAGACATTTCAGATGCGCTCAATGTGAGGCATCCTGGCAAAAGTGTGAAATCCCATTCTAACAGTAAATCTTAAAGTGGCTGACATAGTGTGTGATGAGTGAAGTTTTTTTTAGACAGGTTGTTTATTGGGCTTAGACCTAAGAAAGTGGATGGAAGAAAAAGGTGTGCTGCACTTCTGTTTCCAACTAATGCCAAAACTGTAAGGGCAAATCTTGGAGGTGTAACAGCCACATCATCCGGCCTTCCTCTGGAAATAGAAGCCCCATAGAGCAGCCCTGTGTTGGGCCGCAGACTAGGATGTGTGGGTTCTTTGTGCAGAAGGGGCAGTGGAAGACTCAGTGTAGGTAAGGGCGTCTCTATGCAGCCTGCCTTCATGGAATTAGTACTGGGCTATGTGTGCATAGTAGGCCCTACATTACAGGTAGGTACTTTTATCTGTGATAATATCAAATTATTAAGATAGGTTTAAAACAACACAGTCCAAGTTTGAAATAATCTACTTCTATCCTAGTCAAATGACTGGTTAATACAGCACTGGGTCGTGTTCATTAGGGCGCACAAAAAAAACAAAAACATTTTATAACGGTTCACAACAGAAACGAAAAGTGAGCATTTCAGTCTATGTGGTACCTATTGAACAGGACCCTGGTGTTTTTAGTTAAGGGCTAAAATGTGAAGAGAGTTCACCTCTGTAATATACATCTCTGAAGGGCGTGTTGATGAACTCATGGAGGTTGACTGTCTGCTCTGCTATGTCCATCAGCATGGGGATGGTGTCATTCTGACCACTGTACAGGTTCAGAAGGGCTTTGGGCAGGCACGTCTTCCCTGTAGAAGGTTCTGGGAGAAAATACAACCAAATGAAGGATGGGTGGAGGGGTACTCAGAGACGACATGTATAGTTCTGGACATAAAAAATGACTTCCTTTGAGGCAGCAAGGTACATTGTTCATGTGTCAAACGGTCCTGGTGATAAATCATTAGTGATAAGATAAGAAAGGAAAGGGAAGCAAGCAAGCCATATCACTGAACATGGAAATGCCTCAAAACCCTGAGAAACAACAGCCAAACCAAACGTGGCAGTCAAGTAAGTTGTCTGCTTCTATTGTTTACTTTCAGTCTGAGTTTTTCATGTAGTCTGTCAAGCCCACTTTAGTCCTTTTCTTCCCAGAAGGAGACAGTTTGCTGTGATTTCTCTCTGCTCTCTGTTATAAAGCCCTGCCCCCCACACACACACACACACACACACACATACACACACACAAACACATGCACACTGCCGACAGAAAGCTGTCCTTGGACCCACTTTTGGCAGGACAGAAGCTCTAACATCACAGTAGCTTCCTTCTCATTACTCTAAGGCAGGGGTGTCAAAGTCATTCAATCGTGTGTCTGCAGGTTTTTGGGTTTTCCTTTCAATTAAGACCTAGACAATCAGTTAGGGGGAGTTCTTTACTAATTAGTGACCTTAATTCATCAATCAAGTACAATGGAGGAGTGAAAACCCGCAGACACTCGTCCCTCCATTGAATGACTTTGGAATGAGTTTGACACATGCTCTATGGAGCCAAGAACAACAGGGAAGAGAGGAGGGGGGAATACTGAAATGTCAGAGACAGATAACCAAGTCAGAGGACACGCCAAAGAGTTGAAGCCCTTGGGGCAGAAAGAGATCTGTTAAGACATCTATACCTATTATCACTACACAAAGTCATGACAAACTCCTGGATGACACAATAACTGAAGGTGTTAGTCACAGGGCTAAGTGGACTAAAAAGTAAGACTTCTCCTTTAGTAAGGCAACATGTTTGTTTTTTTACCCCTTTTTCATGATATCCAATTGGTAGTTACAGTCTTGTCCTATCGCTGCAACTCCCGTACGGACTCAGGAGAGGCGAAGGTCAAGAGCCATGCGTCCTCCGAAACACAACCCTGCCAAGCCGCACTGCTCGCTTAACCCGGAAGCCAGCCGCACCAATGTGTCGGAGGAAAGCCGTACAACTGACAACCGAAGACAGCGTTCATGCGCCCAGCCCGCCACAAGGAGTCACTAGAGCGCGATGGGACAAGGACATCCCGGCCGGCCAAACCCTCCCCTACCCAGATGACAGTGGGCCAATTGTGCGCCGCCTCATGGGTCTCCCGGTCGGCTGCGACACAGCCTGGGATCGAACCAGGGTCTGTAGTGACACCTAGCACTGTGATGCAGTGCCTTAGACCGCTGCACCACTCAGGAGGCCAGTTGTGACATGTTTGAGATAATGTTCTGATGCTATTTTAGTCACTAGAAAGGGGTATCTTAAGCCCCACCTCCCCTTCAACACAAAATATTTTTATATTTTTCTCCGACCTTTCTGCGTTTGGGTGTGAAAGCTGACAAGGGCTCATTTGTGAGAGAAGAGATATTTGGCACCAGAGGGCTCCACCCACCATACCACCACTGGGGTCGTCTCACCTTTGAACTCCTCGTCGGTGAGCCTCTTTTCATGACCCTGTAGGTACTCCAGCAGGCCTGAGAGGGCCTCTGGGTCGGCCCGTGACACGCCATCGAAGAGCAGCATGCGGTTAAACACCTTCATCACCTTGGGTGGGTCCAAACCCGGAGGGTCCAGACCTTCATTGCAGGACGTCTCAGTCTTACTATGTAGGGACCATAGACATACATATACTCACATACACTGAGTGTACATTAGGAACACCTGCTCTTTCCATGACAAAGACAGACCAGCTGAATCCAGGTGAAATTGATGTCACTTGTTAAATCCACTTAAATCAGTATAGGTAAAGGGGAGGAGACAGGTTAAATAAGAATTTTTAAGCCTTGATACAATTGAAACATGGATTGTGTATGTACCATTCAGAAGGTGAATGGGCTAGACAAAATATTTAAGTGCCTTTGAACGGGGTATGGTAGTAGGTGGAGTGTGTCAATAACTGCAACACAGCTGGGTTTTTCACGCTCAACAGTTTCCCGTGTGTATCAAGAATGGTCCACCACCCAAAGGACATCCAGCCAACTTGACACAACTGTCAACATGGGCCAGCATCCCTGTGGAACGCTTTCAACACTTTGTACTGTAGAGTCCATGCTCCGATTAATTGTAAGCTGTTCTGACGGTAAAAGGGGGAGCAACTCAATATTAGGAAGGTGTTCCTAATGTTTTGTACACTCAGTGTATAACACATACTATAAGTGTTTATATACATCATTAGTAGGGACACAGAAATCCCTCAGTGTTACATTACTTATCCGAAATGAAAGATGGCGGCTGATTATTGGATGATTTTGAAATGGTGATTTCTGGCATCAGTAGGCCTACAGGTGGTGGGACTAAACAGTGGGGGTCAAGAATGGTAGTTGGGCCAACACTTAAAGCCAACAGTAATGTAATGCTGTATTACTTGTTATAAGCATGTATGTGCCTTTTAAATATCTTATTATGAGGCTTATATGTTATGTCTCTCTAGCAAATGTTCAACAGACTCAAAATGGCTGGTATTTTGTCAGGATCATAATGCGATGATACAAATACATTATAAGGGGGTCATATGTGCTTATGATAAGTCTAACAATGCAATATAACTGCATCATAATTATACCTGTGGACTAAGTAAAGTGTTACCGGTAGTTGTAGCCTAGAAAAAAGGTAGAAAGATAAACCATATAAAGTGAACTGCTGTCCAAGTTCTACTAGTGAGCTACTCAATAAATAGACCTCACTGTGAAACATGTAGCCAGGAACAAGCTCCAGCCTAAATATTACCTCAATGGCTGTGAGGAAGGAAACAACAACACACTCTCTGTTAGATGACTGAATGTCCCTCTGACTAGCCCTTCTGTTTATGAACTTCCACATGGGAGGGACACACCTATGTGACTAAACAGTGGCAGTTGAAGAGTTTCTTTTTTTTTTGCCGGTTGAAGAGTTTATTTTTTTTTGCAATGAGCCATTTTTTCCAAGCCAAGCCTTTGATTAATAAAGAAAACTGCAATGTATTGTAAAATAGAATATTGATACTCTCAACTCAGAAACTCTCAGCTCAGAAACCAAGCCAATTTGATCAACGTTTTTAGGGGAAATCACTTATAAGGTAGAAAAATATTGCCACAATCATAGAAGCAGTTTTTGTGTATCTGTAACCCAGATCATCTCTTATGGGAATGTGTCCTTTATATCATATGGTGAGGTGTCAAACATGACTGACTAACAACCTTTGGTTCCCTGTACAAACCCTATGGTGTGGTCTGTGTAACAGAGATAGTTAGGTGAATCACACTTGTGTGATAAACAACCTTGCCTGACACCTGAAGACTTGCGTTTAATCCCAAAGCCGATGCCTAGGCTTTAAGTTCAGGGGGCTAACACAGTCTTGTGGCATGCAGGAGAAACCGGGTTCGAACCCAGTTGGTCACATCTACACCCCAGAAGTGATCTACTATGCTGCTTCTAACTCTACATGTTGTTTAACAATCTATGCCTCTGCATGTGCTCATGGACCCATGAAAGCCACCATAACAAATGAGTCACGTATCTACTTCAAAACCGAGGGCCCTCCTCACCCTCGTGGGAGCTTCTTCCTGCGTGGCTTCTTGTTGTTGGTGTGCCTATAGGTGCCATAGTCAAAGAGAGAGTCCATGGGGGCTTTCTTGGGGCCGGGCGCCACGGGTGACTCGTAGATGGTCGACTCCAGCAGGTCCATGGGGTTAGAGATGCCCTTCTTAAAGGCACCGTGGAACTTCATGCGGAGGTTCTGTCGGCTGTCTCCTGGCTGCAGCTGGCCTGGCCGGTCTACGTCCGGAGCCGGGTCCTGAGGTGACTGGGAGCCCTCCTCACTCTCAAACAGGTTGGCCAGTGCCGACAGATCAGGGCAGGTACCATCGGCATCAGGCTGTCCCTCCGCAGGCTGTCCCTCCCCACTTCCTCCTCCATCCCATGAGCCCGAGGACAGGGCAGCCTTGGTCCCAGCCGAGGGAGGCGTGTCCGTCTCTGTCACGCCGATGTGACACCTTCTCAGTAGAGCGGCAGGGGAGCGGTCCTAAAAAACACCGTAGCAAAATACACAGGTTATAACTCCACCTAGGTCATAGGTCAAAGGCATGGGAGAGAAACTTAGCAGTCTAATCATAAACCTTGCATTTGGTCTCACTCAACCGTGAATGACATAAGTCGTGTTCATTTGGGCACACAAGCAGAAACTATTTTTGCCACAGAAAACCAATAAAAAGGTTCCTGTTTCAGTCTGTTTTCTTCCATCTGGTACTTAATGAACAGGACACTGAACAACTATCACTGATTGTACGACAAACAGTCACATTAATACAATTAGCCTTTGACTGATTGGACAGTGTATTTCAGTGTATTTCAAGAAACTGAGAAAATGTACACTACCGTTCAAAGGTTTGGGGTCACTTAGAAATGTCCTTGTTTTCGAAAGAAAATCAATTTCTTTGTCCATTAAAATAACATCAAATTGATCAGAAATACAGTGTAGACATTGTTAATGTTGTAAATGTCTATTGTAGCTGGAAACTGCTGATTTTTAATAGAATATCTACATTGGTGTAAAGTGGCCCATTATCAGCAACCATCAGTCCTTGCTAATTCAAGTTTATCATTTTAAAAGGTCAATTGATCATTAGAAAACCCTTTTGCAATTATGTTAGCACAGCTGAAAACTGTTGTGCTAATTAAAGAAGCAATAAAACTGGCCTTCTTGAGACTAGTTGATTATCTGGAGCATCAGCAATTGTGGGTTCGATTACAGAATCTAAATGGCCAGAAACAAATAACTTTCTTCTAAAACTCGTCAGTCTATTCTTGTTCTGAGAAATGAAGGCTATTCCATGCGAGAAATTGCCAAGAAACTGAAGATCTCGTACAATGCTTTGTACTGCTCCCTTCACAGAACAGCGCAAACTGACTCTAACCAGAATAGAAAGAGGAGTGGGAGGCCCCGGTGCACAACTGAGCAAGAGGACAAATACATTAGCGTGTCTAGTTTGAGAAACAGACGCCTCACAGGTCCTCAACTGGCAGCTTAATTAAATAGTACCTGCAAAACACCAGTCTCAACGTCAACAGTGAAGAGGCGACTCCGGGATTCTGACCTTCTAGGCAGAGTTGCAAAGAAAAAGCCATATCTCAGACTGGCCAATAAAAATAAAGATTAAGATGGGAAAAAGAACACAGACACTGGACAGAGGAAGATTGGAAAAAAGTGTTATGGACAGACTAATCGAAGTTTGAGGTGTTCGGATCACAAAGAAGAACATTTGTGAGACGCAGACCAAATGAAAAGATGCTGGAAGAGTGCTTGATGCCATCTGTCAAGCATGGTGGAGACAATGTGATGGTCTGGGGGTGCTTTGGTGGTGGTAAAGTGGGAGATTTGTACAGGGTAAAAGGGATCTTGAAGAGGGAAGGTTATCACTCCATTTTGCAACGCCATGCCATACCCTGTGGACGGAGCTTGATTGGAGCCAATTTCCTCCTACAATAGGACAATGACCCAAAGCACAGCTCCAAACTATGCAATAACTATTTAGGGAAGAAGCAGTCAGCTGGTATTCTGTCTATAATGGAGTGGCCAGCACAGTCACCGGATCTCAACCCTATTCAGCTGTTGTGGGAGCAGCTTGACTGTATGGTACGTAAGAAGTGCCCATCAAGCCAATCCAACTTGTGGGAGGTGCTTCAGGAAGCATGGGGTAAAATCTCTTCAGATTACCTCAATCGACAACTAGAATGCCAAAGGTCTGCAAGGCTGTAATTGCTGCAAATGGAGGATTCTTTGACGAAAGCAAAGTTTGAAGGACACAATTATTATTTCTATTAAAAATCGTTATTTCTAACCTTGTCAATGTCCACATTTCCTATGCATTTTGCTATATTTCCTATTCAAACTCATTTAATGTGTTTTTTCATGGAAAACAAGGAAATGTCTAAGTGACCCCAAACTTTTGAACGTGATTCTCCAGTATGTAACCCTGATCCTGAAGTAGCCAGGGCTATGCCTGAAATGGCACCCTATTTCCTATATAGTGCACTACGGGGGTAATACCCTATGGGCCCTGGTCAAATGTAGTGCACTGCAGCCCAGATGTGTGTGGGTAGAGCTCTGGCATCCTGCTCATCTTGTGGGCCGCGTTGATGGCACAGGATGTCCCCCAGTCAGCCATTTGCAGCCTCTGGCAGCCTGGGAAAGTCATCTGTAAATATTGAGCACTGCATTGCCTGACCGTTACTGGCCCAAGGCCAGTGCATGGAAGTGGTGCCCGAATTTTCCATTTGGGGTAGGAGAACAGGGTGGGATGACTCTGAATTTCCAACCAGCTTACTGACCAGACAGAGGACACAACATAGGACGACTTCAAATACACTTTTCCCATGACTGAGTATTTCCCATGAAGAGCAACTTAATTTGTTATTATATATTTTTTTTTCAAATGACCGTTTTCTCCCATCATCAAAATCTTTGGCAAAACTCTACATTGCAACTCTACATTGTGTAATACAAGAACCTATGTTTTTGAATAATGATCTGTTATACCATTATAGACTTATACATGAACAACAGTAACTTACAGTACCTTCAGAAAGTATCCACACCCCTTTACTTTTTCCACATTTTGTTGTGTTACAGCCTGAATTTAAAATGGATTAAATTGAGATTCTGTCACTGATCTACAATACCCCATACTGTCAAAGTGGAATTTCGTTTGTAGAACATTTTCGAAATTAATAAAAAATTAAAAGCTGAAATGTCTTGAGTCAAAATGTGCTTAACAAATCACATAATAATTTGCATTGACTCATTCTGTGTTCAATAATAGTGTTTAACATGTTTTTGAATGACTACCCCATCTCTATACCCCACACATACAATTACAGTGCCTTCAGAATGTATTCACATCCCTTGACTTTTTCCACATTTTGTTGTGTTACAAAGTGGGATTAAATGGGATTAAATTATCCTTTATTTTATTCAACAATCTACCCACAATAATCTGTAATGTCAAAATGGAATGAACTATAAAACATCTGGATTACATAAGTATTCAAACCCCTGAGTCAATACATGTTAGAATCACATTTGGCAATGATTACAGCTGTGAGTCTTTCTGGGTAAGTCTATACGAGCTTTCCACAGCTGGACTGTGCAACATTTGCCCACTATTCTTTTCAAAATTCTTCAAGCTCTGTCGTATTGGTTGTTGATCATTGCTAGACAACCATTTTCAGGTCTTGCCATAGATATTCAAGGAGATTTAAGTCAAAACTGTAACTTGACCACTCAGGAACATTCACTGTCTTCTTGGTAAGCAACTCAAGTGTAGATTTGGCCTTGTGTTTTAGGTTATTGTTCTGCTGAAAGGTGAATTCATCTCCCAGTGTCAGGCAGAAAGCAGACTGAACCAGGTTTTCCTCTAGGATTTTTCCTGTGCTTAGCGCCATTTCGTTTCTTTTTTATCCTGAAAAACTCCCCAGTCCTTAATGATAACAAGCATACCCATAACATGCAGCCACCACTATGCTTGAAAATATGGAGAGTGGTATTCAGTAATGTGTTGTATTAGATTTGCCCCAAAATTAAGTCTTTGTATTAAGTCTTTCCTCAGTTTTCTCCTATCACAGCCATTAATGTCACACCCTGGCTCTGGGGACTCTATATGTTGAGCCAGGGTGTGTAGATTCTATGTGTTTTTGTTCTATGTTCACAGTCTAGTATTGTATTTCTATGTTGGCCAGAGTGGTTCCCAATCAGAGGCAACGAGTGTCAGCTGTTGCTGGTTGTCTCTGATTGGGAGCCATATTTAGACAGGCTGTGTTCCCACAGGTGTTGTGGGATCTTGTTCCTTTTGGTTTGTTCCGTGTTGGTTGTGTTTAACTTAGGACGTCACGTTATCGTTTATTGTTTTGTTCGTGTTATCACTTTTGATAATAAAGTATGTTCGCTCATCACGCTGCGCCTTGGTCCATTCCGTTCAACGATCGTGACAGAAGATCCCACCATACCAGGACCAAGCAGCGTGCCCAGGAACACACGCAGGAGGTAACTCTAGTGGATGTCCTCCTCGGTTGGGGGCAGATTACAGAGGAGGAGGCCGTCCGGTACCGGAAGGCTATGAAGGGGGAGACCCAGGCAGGAGAGGAGAAGCGGCGTCAACCGGGCCGTGGTCGGACAGGCGAGAGGCACCCCCAATAAATGTTTAGGGGGGGGCACACGGCATGGGCGACGGGGCAGCAGGAGGCTGCCACAGGTTGTATTGGGAGATTAGGAGAGGAGGCCACCGGGTTTGGGGGGCCAGAAGGCAGGTTGGCGGAGCCTGGATGGAGAGCAGAGTCAACTCCCCGTACTCAGGCATGGCAGCATGAGACTGGGCAGGTTCCGGGGTATGCGGAGCTGCGTACTGTGCCACGAGTGGTCCGGCATAGTCCGGTACGTCCTGTGCGAGCACCCCGCACGTGTCGTGCGAAGGTGGGCATGCAGCCAGGACGGAGTGTGCCGGCTCAGCGCTCGTGGCCTCCAGTGCCTCTCCTTGGTCCCGGATATCCTGCGCCAGTGTCACGTGCTGTTATGTCGGTACGGGTACACAGCCCTGTATGTCCTGTGCTGATGCCTCACACAGAGTGTGTGAAGGTAGGCATTCAGCCAGGACGGGTTGTGGCAGCTCTTCACTCCAGGCCTCCTATCCGTCTCCACAGCCCGGCCCGGCCTGTTCCTGCTCCTCGCACCAAGCCTCCGGTGCGCGTCACCAGCCCGGCCCGGCCTGTTCCTGCCACTCGCACCAAGCCTACGGTGCGCGTCGCCAGCCCGGCCCGGCCTGTTCCTGCCACTCGCACCAAGCCTACGGTGTGCGTCGCCAGCCCGGCCCGGCCTGTTCCTGCCACTCGCACCAAGCCTACGGTGCGCGTCGCCAGCCCGGCCTGGCCTGTTCCTGCCACTCGCACAAAGCCTACAGTGTGCGTCGCCAGCCCGGCCCGGCCTGTTCCGGCTCCACGCACCAAGCCAGGGGTGCGCATCGTCAGCCCGGTCC